ATTACTGCGAAGAATTAATAAGAATCTCTTTTTTAACTTTGAAATGTACGCTTTTTTTTTTTTTAAACATCTTCGCTTCTAACAAGGCTGCAAGCAACCACTAATTAGTGTTGGAAGTTACTGGAAGAGAAAAAATGAAGATTGTAGAGCAAGATAACAATTGATAGACGACTTAAAAGATTGCAAATTATATGAATCAGGAAAGCAAGATGAAGGAAGCAAATTCCAAAGAACTGGTGTTCGAGGAAAAAAACTAGACAAATAAGAGTTTTTGGAGCACTAAGGAACAGTAACAGAAAAAGGATGAGACTTAATTGAATGACGAGTAACACAAGAATGAATTTTAGTAGATGGCACAAGAGACGCTAGCTCTTTAGTGCAGTGCCCATTATAGTATTTGTAGAAAAGAGAAAGAGAAGCAACATTATGATGATGTGACAGAGGTTGAAGGTTGGCTGCAAGAGCAGGTCCAACTATGTTTACAATCCGTTTTTGCACCTTGTCTAAAAGAGATAGGGCATCATTAGAAGATCCGCCCCAGATATGGCAACAATATTCCATACAAGGTCGGATTTGAGATTTATAGAGATAGAGAATAGAATCCAGAGTAAGAAAGTATTGAGCTCGATAAAGTGATGCAATTTTAGTAGATGCTAATTTTGCAACGGATTTGATGTAAGGTTTCAAAGAAAGATCAGAAGTGAGAGTTAATCCTAGAAGATGAAAGGTAGATGACTCGTCGAGTACATTACCGTTCATAAATACAGGAAGGTCTAAATTATTGCGATAACGATTGGCTGAAAAAAATCGAGTTTTATCTGAATTAAAGTTCACCAGCCACTGTGAGCCCCATGCTGTAGCAGAAGTGAGATCCTTTTCAAGCTCAAATGCTATGGAATAAATGGTAGTATCATCAGCAAACAATGCCACCTTAGATGTGAGAATATCTGGAAGATCGTTAATGTAAATTAAATAGAGTATAGGGCCAAGGATTGAACCTTGAGGAACCCCTGAGGTTACAGAATAAGAAGAAGAGTGCTGTCCATCAAGAACAACTTTTATACTACGATTGGAAAGAAAGGATTCAATAATCTTAAAGATGTTTGCAGATACACCATAAGAAGAAAGCTTATGGAGAAGACCATCATGCCAAACTTTATCAAACGTTTTAGAAATGTCAAGAGCAATGGCCTTAACCTCTCCACCTTTATCTAATGCACGATAAAACCTATCGGTTATTACTGTTAGCAAATCAGCCGTAGAACAAAAAGATCGAAATCCATATTGATGATCAGAATGTAGGTTATGAGATTCAAGATGAGAGATTAAGTGTTTGTTAATTAAAGATTCAAAAACCTTGCTTATGATAGGAAGAAGATTATTGGGACGCTAGTTAGATGAATCGGATCGCTCTCCAGAATTTTTAAAAATAGGAATATTAAATAATCTTATTGTTACTTATTATTTATTTAAGTTTTAATTTTTTTTTAGTTTTAGTTATTTTTATATTATTTTTTGTTATTTATTTTTTACGAAGATTTGTTACAAGTTTATGTATACAAATTTTCAAAATATCTTAACAGCCTTGGTCAAGTTTTTAAAATCAAATTGTATTTGTGTGGTGATTTTATGACCAAGCAAAAATACAATTTATTTTGAAATTGCATTCCTTCCTGGTTAAGCCTGATTAAAAGCAAACGTTTTTAAAGTGTAAATTTTAATTTTTAAAGGTTTTTAAAGTATTTTTCATCAAAGTTTGAATTTAACATAAAATTTAAATTAAAAAAAAATGTTTTCCAATTTCAAGTCATCACCAAATTACCATTGTCACGATTTAAAATGTGTTGACTAAATTTTGAGTGTTCTAAATGTATTCCAATGGCTTCATCGATTTTTCTGGTATAATTGTTTGAAATGTTTAAAAGTGTTTTAAGGTGTTTTGCCAGTTAATATTCATTTTTCCCATTCAGATATCACCACAATTTAACTTTTGTTCCACAATTCATGATCATCCCAGTTGGTTTTAGTAAAATTCTTTGAAAAACTCTGTTAAGCTATATAAAGCTAATAAAGCCGCATGAAATAAGGTTATACAAGAAAAAAATAGTCTATGCAAAAAGTATTTTCCATGATCCTAAAATTCAAAGATTATGCAATTGGTTATGGATTTTATTATTTTCTTTAGATATAAAAACGTTGCTAATATTTTGGCATTAAAAATGCTGAATTCAGTAATTGAAGTGGAAAAATTGAATTTTTTTATTGTGTTGCTAATGTTTTTGAAAACAATGTGTGTGTATGCTAACATAAACAACAGAATAAATTTGTAAATTTCATTCAGTTTTTGAACTTTTATAAAATAAACAGCATTATATTGCAATGATAAAATCTGATTTAAAAATCAACTGTAATAAGTAACTATCACAAAATTATGTTGCTAATAACATATCAATTTTAACACATGCTAAAATTCCAATTGAATAATCTAACATTTATTAATTACAAATAATCAAACTATTTCTTATAAAAAATGTTTGCTTAACTGCTCCTGGAATTAGGGATGGCATTAAGCAATATCGACCTTAAAGTGTTAGGGGTCGCAAATTTTTGCCAACCTCTAACACTTTGAGTCAAACTTTTTGCCAGCATGATGCCGACCTTTAATAGTTTGAGGTCAGCAATTTATTGCTGACCCTATTTTTCCTGATTTTGCATTTTCCTGATTCAGCATTTTTTAAAGTAAAATTATTAGTGTTTCATATAAACAATATAAAACATCCTTTTGTTGTGTTTTTGTAAGCATATATATACATATATATGTGTATATATATATTAGGGACTATTCTAGACCTTTTTCTATGTTTATATGCTGACTGTATTTAGGCGCCTTTAAGGTGCTTAAATATGGTAAATATTGTTTTTTTGCAAAAAAGCGCCTACATTTGGCAATATTTTCTCTAAATTTTTTCAGGATGGGGGGTAGCGCCGCCCAAGTTATTTTCATAGAATAGCCTCTGTATATATATATATATATATATATATATATATATATATATATATAT